GCGCAAGATCTCCCTACCCGCGCCAACAATCGATCAAATTCACGGAGAAGTGCCTCCTCTGCTTCAAGTATGTTAGCAGGTCGCAGAGTTGTACAACACAGCCTATATAGCGAACTTAAAGGACCACTATAGTGCCAGGAAAACATACTCATTTTCCTGGCAATATAGTGCCCTGAGGGTGCCCCCACCCTCAGGGCCCCCCTCCTGCCTGGCTCTGGAAAGGGGAAATGGGGTTAAACTTACATTTTTCCAGCGCTGGGCGGGGAGCTCTCATCTTCCGATCCTCCTCCTCTCCGCCCATTCCGCTGAATGCGCACGGGCGGCAAGAGGTGCGCGCACATTCAGCCGGTCTCATAGGAAAGCATTTACAATGCTTTCCTATGAACGCTTGCGTGCTCTCACTGTGATTTTCACAGTGAGAATCACGCAAGCGCCTCTAGCGGCTGTCAATGAGACAGCCACTAGAGGCTTTGGGGGAAGGATTAACCCATTTATAAACATAGCAGTTTCTCTGAAACTGCTATGTTTATAAAAAAAAATGGGTTAACCCTAGCTGGCCCAGGCACCCAGACCACTTCATTAAGCTGAAGTGGTCTGGGTGCCTAGAGTGGTCCTTTAACAGTCAGCGAACTTAACAGTCAGCTGAGTGTTTTGTCAGCGAGTAGCCAAGTTTTGAGCCCAAATTGCGCTAAGTATTGTAAGTATTTTTGAAGGAGCTCCAGCCACATATGACTAGCTTGGTTGGCTGTCAGGCCCCACGCACAAGTGTTTTATTTATTTATTTTTAACCCCTGCAGTGACATTTCGTGTATAAGACGACCCCCAATTTTAGACTAAAATTTATCGGCTTGAAAGTGTTGAAATGTTGCGGCATAAAACGTCACCAAAAATATAAACTCTGGTGTTGTGGCTTTGTCTTCTATTGCATGCTGACTTTGAGGACATTCAAAGTGGGGACACTTTGAATACTAAAGCGTGTGTTGCAAGCCTCCTGCCTATAGAAGAACAAGGTCACTAAATATTGATATGGGCTGTATATAAACTGGTAGCAGCCGTGGTATAATTGTTACAAGTTAATGAATAAAACTGCTGTTATACCATAAATCTCTGCTGGACAGAGTATTATCGAAATCAGATCAGTCCCCAGAAATCTTTATCCTGCATGGGATTTATGGCTGTCGGATCAAAGCCAACTCCAGAATTCTATGTTTTGATCTGTGTGCACCACAAGGAGATATTGATAAAATTGGAATTTCTTTCAACACAACCCACCGCTTATTAGTTAAAGGGTTACCTTTGAAATAAATCTTTCAGACAATAATTATTTTCAGTTATCTTAAAAAATAAAATTACATTAAACATGTTCACTGACATTGTTATGTTCTCTTCATACATCTTTCTCTCTCTCTCTCTCTGTCAATCTCTCGCTTTGTTTCTCTTTCTCACTCTCTCTTGTTCTTTTTCTTTTTCCCATTCTTTATCTCTCATCCGTTATCTGCGTTGCCAGAACTCATTGTTTAAGTAAAGGGGATTATGGGCTATGTGCAGTTTCCGTGAAGTTTTACTCCTAAGTCTATTAGAGCAGGATCCCTGGTCTCGGAGTTATGTGGCAGTCAGTTTATGGCATGTGGTGATGTAGTCGGCTGCACACTGCGCTGTGTGTTCTTCTCCAAGAAAGGATTTTAAATTTGCTTCCTCATCATTGGAGATGAATGTGGGCATCAGCGTTGATAATGACTTAAATTAATAGCTCCTTTCACTGGAGTATTTAAAGCACTGTAGTAAAAAGTGTCTTCTCCCTCTCTCTTTCTCTCTCTCTCACACACACTCTCCCTATCTCTCTCTCCCTCTCCCTATGTCTCTCTCCCTGATGTATAAATATAAACAGGAAATTTCTAACTCACAGTCACATAATATTTATCCAGGTGCACAAACTAAATGTATGAACAATATATAACGAAAACGAGTCAGGGTGTGCCTACCCACCTACCAGTATATATCTGTCGTCCTCCCAGAATGCAACGTAGCAGCTTTAGATTTGCATACTAACCAGGTACTTTCCCTAAACAGGAAATTTCACCAGCAATTGGCAATCTCAAGAACCCACGATCACGCTGAGTTGTCAATTTGTCAGTTCTCCCCAATTCCAAGTTAAGTGAGTAACTGTGAGAGTGTCACTGTTACACGGCGGGTTCCCTTGGCAATGGAACGCCAATTTAAACTCTGCTTTTAATCCAAAATCAAGGGTTTGGGTCTATTTTACAGAAACGGAGGACTTCTATCAATAGGCAGCCTCATTTGTATGGAGCGGACTACTCGGTTCAGTGTACGCTGAATCCTAATTTCAGGGGAGCTAGCATCTTTTGCATTTTTGGAAGAAGGATAGTGTCTGCATAGCGTATCTGTGCCCAGCATATTGTGGCAACAGAGGATGTGATAAAGCATTTTAATATGCTTCAGTAAATGACAAAATGGTACAGGCTGCAGATCTCCATAATCACTTTCCTTCCTCGCATTTCTATGCACCTGTTATTTTCTGACTGATTGTTCAGTAAGTCAGCTCAAGGCTCTCTTTTAATGTGGGTGAACTTCCACGTGTTTCTCCTTGCTCAGACCACCCTGTAATTATTCAAAGGTGCAGATGCCCTCTCTCATCATTGTTCTAAATTTCCCTTTAAATTTGACTTGTATGCTGTAACAGTGCAGCCTTGCCAAGATTCAGAAAGTGGCGAGAATTCTCATCCAATCCCAGCCCTGCCAATGTTCTATGAGTATATCCAACAGAGTATGGAAAACAGAAAAACGAGATACAGCAAAACTCTGAAACTTGGATACCCTAACAATCCAAGAAAAACAGGTTGCGCCAAATAGTGATACGGGTTCAAATCAGTAATGATGTCTAGTGTATACTTAAATTGACTTATAGGTGATGCAGAATAGTCTTTGTAGTATAAGAGGAATCTTGGTGGCGCTGATACTCAAACAGTCTGATATCCTCACAGGTAGGTTTCGTGATATGTAGAAGTGAAGAAGTGGTTTTATCAGAGTTCATACAGATGTTCAAACAGCTACTAGATGCATACTTGCAAAAACAGAATATTCAAAGATATAATCTTTCAATGTAGGGTAATAGCTGCTTGATCCAAGGATAAATCTGACTGCCATTCTGGGGTCAAGAAGGAATTTTTTCCCTAGTTTATTGCAAAATTGGAAGTGCTTCAAACTGTTTTTTTTTTGCCTTCTTCTGGATCATTAGTAAAAACAAACGTGAGGAAGGCTGAACTTGATGGACGCAAGTCTGTTTTAAGCTCTGTAACTATGTAAAGACAATAAGCATATAGGGAGAAACAATATGATAATGTGATATTCTTGATATTCTTTCATTCTGTCATCAGTTGAAAAAGACCGTTGGCGAAACGCGTCGTGATTCTACACAAGAGTTTTTATCAGTTTTAATCTATTCATTTTTATTGGTTTGGTAAATTGCAATAAAAGTTTTACCATCCAAAACTTATTTTTATTGTATTTGTCCTGCACCCATACTGATGTTTCTAAAATCCAGAACATTTCTACTTGCACTGCTGTAATTTCTCTATCTATTCTTGTATATCGTTGGTGGGGGTTGTACCACCCATGCTGATACTACTGAACATGCACTGCTCTCAAAAATGTGAGCAAAGTGGTTATTACTACAAACAGAGAGCACTTCATTATCTTTATTTTTCTCTCTATACTATATGTCTACTACACTGTGAAGCACCTAATAAATCAATTACAGATATATCCGTGAACGGAGATTATACTGCTCCAAGCCTTTATTAAGCGTTGATTGGAAGCTCTTCAGTTACATCCATATTAGAGCTAGTACTAGATGTATCTCCCGAAAAGGATCAGACTGTCCATCCACCCTATATCCTTGGCAAGGATTATATTGCCACAAGACGTTCTATGAGAGCTAAAGATAGCTCCTTCCTTGTGAGTGTTTTTTTAATTGCTTTATTTTCCACTTTTGGTTACATAATGTTACACTATTATTTTTCCCTACATGTTTAATGTCTTTACATATCACAAAACCTGCGTGAATCTGTGAGGATATCAGACTGTTCCTCCGAGTGTCAGCTCCAAGAACATTCCTCTTTTACTACAATGACTCTATTTTGGGACTATTCTGTAGGATCTATAACCCATATCAGTATTTGGCGCAACCTGTTTTTCTCTTCTCTTCGCTTCTCTCTCTTTTTTTTGTTGCATACCCAATAGAGGTTTATGTAGTAAAGCAGTCAAATCATAAACGAAAAGACCATAACCACTGTACATTCTACAGAAGCTGATGCATGGCTTGTGTTAGGTTGCCCGGTAGCTTCATTCATTTATTTATTTTATCAGACCTGCATGATTCCTGCTATGTCTATTGTTCCTGTTACATTTTGTTATTGTCTCATTTAGTAAAATCCCCTTTTATTGTAAAGCTCTGCTAAATAAGCTAGCGCTATATAAATACCAATACTAATAGTAATAATAATAATAATAATAATAATGTCTCTCTTATAGAAGTGGGCAAGAACAAACATTCCTTCTCCTCTCACACCATAACCTTGGTATTAATATGTTTAACTTTCCAGTAGGAAGGAAAAAAGAACATTAAAACAACATTATTATTTTTGGCATCTATATATTGCCAATCTATTCCACAGCGCTTTGCAATATTATAAAGACAACAGCTGTCATTCATCCTTTGGAAGAAAAATCTATGCTATCATGCACAGAGCCCAAGGTATTTTCCTTAAATACTCCAGAGGAATAGCAGAATACTCTCAGAATGGACTGCAAAGAGTTAGAAGCTGTGTCCATATTATTAAAGTATCATACCTGGGAATGGATCTGTTTTGTGCATACAGAGTACATATTTCAGTCAATAATTATAGACTTCTTTGATTGTTCAACCTTAGCATAGTGACTACATTATAGCTAATAGTCATTGTGACTTTATAGATACTCGATCAACTATACAGCACATGTTCATTATCAGTATATAGATACTCAGTATTATTATACAGTGCAGAGTGTTCATTATCAGTGTATAGATACTCAGTATTATTATACAGTGCAGTGTGTTCATTATCAGTGTATAGATACTCAGTATTATTATACAGCGCAGAGTGTTCATTATCAGTGTATAGATACTCAGTATTATTATACAGTGCAGAGTGTTCATTATCAGTGTATAGATACTCAGTATTATTATACAGTGCAGAGTGTTCATTATCAGTGTATAGATACTCAGTATTATTATTATACAGTGCCGTGTGTTCATTATCAGTGTATAGATACTCAGTATTATTATACAGCGCAGTGTGTTCATTATCAGTGTATAAATACTCAGTATTATTATACAGCACAGTGTGTTCATTATCAGTGTATAGATACTCAGTATCATTATACAGCGCAGTGTGTTCATTATCAGTGGATAGATACTCAGTATTATTATTATACAGTGCCGTGTGTTCATTATCAGTGTATAGATACTCAGTATTATTATACAGTGCAGAGTGTTCATTATCAGTGTATAGATACTCAGTATTATTATTATACAGTGCCGTGTGTTCATTATCAGTGTATAGATACTCAGTATTATTATACAGCGCAGTGTGTTCATTATCAGTGTATAGATACTCAGTATTATTATACAGCGCAGTGTGTTCATTATCAGTGGATAGATACTCAGTATTATTATACAGCACAGTGTGTTCATTATCAGTATAGATACTCAGGATCACATACAGTGTGTTCATTATCAGTGTATGGATACTCAGTATCATTATACAGTGTGTTCATTATCAGTGTATAGATACTCAGTATTATTATACAGAGCAGTGTGTTCATTATCAGTGTATAGATACTCAGTATTATTATACAGCAGTGTGTTCATTATCAGAGTATAGATACTCAGTATTATTATACAGTGCAGTGTGTTCATTATCAGTGTATAGATACTCAGTATTATTATACAGCGCAGTGTGTTCACTATCAGTGTATAGATACTCAGTATCATTATACAGTGTGTTCATTATCAGTGTATAGATACTCAGTATCATTATACAGTGTGTTCATTATCAGTGTATAGATACTCATTATTATTATATAGTGCAGTGTGTTTATTATCAGTGTATAGATACTCAGTATCATTATACAGTGCAGTGTGTTCATTATCAGTGTATAGATACTCAGTATTATTATACAGCGCAGTGTGTTCATTATCAGTGTATAGATACTCGGTATTATCATACAGTGCAGTGTGTTCATTATCAGTGTATAGATACTCAGTATCATTATACAGTGCAGTGTGTTCATTATCAGTGTATAGATACTCAGTATCATTATACAGTGTGTTCATAGTATCAGTGCAGTGTGTTCATTATCAGTGTATAGATACTCAGTATTATTATACAGCGCAGTGTGTTCATTATCAGTGTATAGATACTCAGTATTATTATACAGCGCAGAGTGTTCATTATCAGTGTATAGATACTCAGTATCATTATACGATACTCAGTATCATCATACAGCGCAGTGTGTTCATTATCAGTGTATAGATACTCAGTATTATTATACAGCACAGTGTGTTCATTATCAGTGTATAGATACTCAGTATTATTATACAGTGCAGTGTGTTCATTATCAGTGTATAGATACTCAGTATCATTATACAGTGCAGAGTGTTCATTATCAGTGTATAGATATTCAGTATTATTATTATACAGTGCCGTGTGTTCATTATAAGTGTATAGATACTCAGTATTATTATACAGCGCAGTGTGTTCATTATCAGTGTATAGATACTCAGTATTATTATACAGCGCAGTGTGTTCACTATCAGTGTATAGATACTCAGTATCATTATACAGTGTGTTCATTATCAGTGTATAGATACTCAGTATCATTATACATTGTGTTCATTATCAGTGTATAGATACTCATTATATAGTGCAGTGTTTATTATCAGTGTATAGATACTCAGTATCATTATACAGTGCAGTGTGTTCATTATCAGTATAGATACTCAGTATTATTAAAGTGCAGCGCAGCCCACATTATCAGTGTATAGATACCTATATTATTATACAGTGCAGTGTGTTCATCAGTGTATAGATACCTGCATCATTATACAGTGTGTTCATTATCAGTGTATAGATACTCAGTATCATTATACAGTGTGTTCATTATCAGTATAGATACTCATATATTATCAGTATTATCATTAGCGTGTGTTTATTATCAGTGTATAGATACTCATATATACAGTGCAGTGTGTTCATTATCAGTGTATAGATACTCAGTATTATTATACAGTGCAGTGTGTTCATTATCAGAGTATAGATACTCAGTATTATTATACAGTGCAGTGTGTTTATTATCATATAGATACTCAGTATTATTATACAGTGCAGTGTGTTCACTCAGTCAGTATACAGTATAGATACTCAGTATTATTATACAGCGCAGTGTGTTCACTATCAGTGTATAGATACTCAGTATCATTATACAGTGTGTTCATTATCAGTGTATAGATACTCAGTATCATTATACAGTGTGTTCATTATCAGTGTATAGATACTCATTATTATTATATAGCGCAGTGTGTTCATTATCAGTGTATAGATACTCAGTATTATTATACAGCGCAGTGTGTTCACTATCAGTGTATAGATACTCAGTATCATTATATAGTGGATTGCCGTTTGGGTATATAACTTGCTTACGCAGGGTTGGCTATATATGCTATTGGAAGGAGCAGGTTATTACAGATCTGAAGTTGGCTGTGGATTTCTCCAGATACATCACTCAGCGTGTTCAGTTTTGATCCCACGTACAAATTCTTGTCAAGTTCCTCACAGCTACAGCTTAAAAAGAATTCACAAAAGGGCTATATTTTTACATGTATTTCCTATTTCAATAGCCAGGCTGATTGACACATTGCATTGGGAGCTGGCAAAGCCACAACCTTCTTTAATAAATCCTTGTACAATGTGTTAACGTAATAATTGTATATTTAAACATGTCACTGCCGTTAGGGACCAACGCTTTAACCAATTAAAAGGACATTCTAGGCTCCATAACCACTTTAAACTGTTTCCAAATCAGGGTCCGCAGCTACCCTCAGGGTCCCACTCCCGTGGCGCTGAGAGGGGAGGAAGGGGTTAAACTTATCTCTTTCTCCAGCGCCGGGCAGGGAGCTCTCCTCCTCTCCGCCTCCTCTCCTCCTCTTCGGCTGCATGCGCGGCAGGAGCTGCGCGCGCATTCAGCCAGTCTCACAGGAAAGCATTTACAAGCTTTCCTAAGGACGCTCACAGTGAGAAGCACGCAAGCGCTTCTAGCGGCTGTCAAGAGAGGCTGGATTAACCATATTATAAACATGGTTATAAAAAAAAGGGTTAACCCTAGATGAACCTAGCACCCAGACCACTTCATTAAGCTGAAGTGGTCTGGGTGCCTATAGTGGTCCTTTAAACATGACACGAGGGTTGGCGCCCATTGACTTCAGGCACAATAACCAGTTAAGTTGAACTAGAACACCCCTTAGAAAATGAAGTTGTTTTTGTGTTTTGAGTGTTCCTTTAAGCAATTAATAAACATTATGTGTGCACCTGACACCCTATGGTTAATTCTTACCCATTGCACTGAGTTACACTTTCCCCCAGTCTCCCTCCCTGTGGACCTTTTCTCCTGCAGGTGCAGAGCTGTGTGTGGTAGATGCCAGAAGCGGTGACAATTCTCAGCCACTTTGTCGTGCTCTGCAATCAAAATAATGAGCAGGGGGGCTGTTACTGCTCTTAGCTGCAGGGCAAGTAACAGTGTGCGCTGTGCGAGATTACATTTACAGTGATAATACATGGATTTATTGGACATACAGAGAGAGGTTAAATGGAGTAATAGGAGCCGTTATAGAGAGAGGTTATATGGAGTAATAGGAGGAGTTATAGTGAGAGGTTATATGGAGTAATAGGAGGAGTTATACAGAGAGGTTATATGGAGTAATATGAGGAGTTATAGGGAGAGGTTATATGGAGTAATATGAGGAGTTATAGTGAGAGGTTATATGGAGTAATATGAGGAGTTATAGGGACAGTTTATATGGAGTAATAGGAGGAGTTATAGGGAGAGGTTATATGGAGTAATAGGAGGAGCTATAGAGAGAGGTTATATGGAGTAATAAGAGGAGTTATAGGGAGAGGTTATATGGAGTAATATGAGGAGTTAAAGGGACAGTTTATATGGAGTAATAGGAGGAGTTATATGGAGTAATAGGAGGAGTTATAGAGAGGTTATATGGAGTAATAGGAAGAGTTATAGGGAGAGGTTATATGGAGTAATAGGAGGAGTTATAGTGAGAGGTTATATGGAGTAATATGAGGAGTTATAGGGACAGTTTATATGGAGTAATAGGAGGAGTTATAGGGAGAGGTTATATGGAGTAATAGGAGGAGCTATAGAGAGAGGCTATATGGAGTAATAAGAGGAGTTATAGGGACAGGTTATATGGAGTAATATGAGGAGTTAAAGGGACAGTTTATATGGAGTAATAGGAGGAGTTATATGGAGTAATAGGATGAGTTATAGGGAGAGGTTATATGGAGTAACAGGAGGGGTTTTAGAGAGAGGTTATATGGAGTAATAGGAGGAGTTATATGGAGTAATAGGAGGAGTTATAGGGAGAGGTTATATGGAGTAATAGGAGGGGTTATAGAGAGAGGGTATATGGAGTAATAGAAGGGGTTATAGGGAGAGGTTATATGGAGTAATAGGAGGAGTTCTAGTGAGAGGTAATATGGAGTAATAGGAGGAGTTATAGTGAGAGGTTATATGGAGTAATAGGAGGAGTTATAGGGAGAGGTTATATGGAGTAATAGGAGGAGTTATAGGGAGAGGTTATATGGAGTAATAGGAGAGTTATAGAGAGAGGTTATATAGAGTAATAGGAGGAGTTATAGGGAGAGTTTATATGGATTAATAGGAGGAGTTATAGGGAGAGATTATATGGTGTAATAGGAGGAGTTATAGGGAGAGATTATATAGAGTAATAGGAGGAGTTATAGGGAGAGATTATATGGTGTAATAGGAGGAGTTATAGGGAGAGATTATATAGAGTAATAGGAGGAGTTATAGAGAGAGGTTATATGGAGTAATAGGAGGAGTTATAGAGAGAGGTTATATGGAGTAATAGGAGGAGTTATAGAGAGAGGTTATATGGAGTAATAGGAGGAGTTATAGGGAGAGGTTATATGGAGTAATTTGAGGAGTTATAGAGAGAGGTTATATGGAGTAATTTGAGGAGTTATAGAGAGAGGTTATATGGAGTAATAGGAGGAGTATAAAGAGATGTTACATGGGGTAATAGGAGGAGTTACTAAGATGTGTTTATTATAGAGTATTTGAAATGTGTGTGTATGTATATATATATATATCTCAAAATGTAGCCATTGCTAAGTGAAAATTTAGCCCTGGCGAGTAGAAATTCACCTCGGTGAGCATAATCTAGCCTTCAGTAGTTAGTCACTTTTATGCAATGACCAGCATACATCTTACAATTTAAACTCCTATATATATATTACACAGTGATGACAGTATTCAAAATATCCTACTATCTATGACATCACAATCCACTGAAAGGAAGCCAGTGGCAGGATTCTGTAATGCTGACATCATGTGATGACCTCGCAATGCACATCCACTCACAGGAGCCCAGTGGCTACAGTTGCACTAAGTGTGTGGGGCAGACCAAGTACATCATCTC